AATTTGTCCTCTGAACATCCACATTCATGATGTGAATCCATTCCACCACATGTCAAAGTGGTAAGTGGTCAGCAACAACACTCAGGTAGAGTGTGGTGTTTTAAAATAATGATTATCTTTAAATAATAATGGCACCAGCAACCATGCCATGTGCAAAGTCACTTCAGCCATCTTTCCTCCCTGTTCTGATGCTCTGTTTAAACTTCAGCAGGTTGTCTTAACCACATCTGCTTACTTCAATAGATTCAGCTGCTGCCATGTGATTGTCTGATCACATATTTGCATAAATAACCAGCTGAACTAGTTTGCCTGACAAAGTGCTGATGTGTTTTAGTGTGCGGTCCAGCAGTAGGAAGTATTTGTGACAGAATATGCAAAGCAGAAACCAAATGAGTTCATTGTTTGTTTCTAAATGAAATCTTAAACCTTTTAACTCAAACTAAGGTCTGTTTAATACAACTAAAGAATTAGCAGAAGACTATGAGCTACCTGTAAATGAACACTCAAGTTCATTGTTGCTGCTATTTGTAATCAATATGTTATAAACTGTATACAAAGGATGGAAGACACCTCCATGACAAACATGTTTTTAGGTATTGCTAAATTGTGGATGTGGCGGTTCCTGTTTTTGTTACATTTGAATATAATTTTGCATGTGCATTGTTTTCATTATGATTCAGTGTATGACTGCTACTTTTGAGCAGGTCTCCTGAGAGATTTTGATCTAAATGTAAGATCCTGATGAAACTGGGTATAAATTCATGTTCTTTCTATCAAGTGGAAGTTATTTAGAGAATTTAGGCTTTCTGACTCAAATTGTATTTTTTTAAAAAAATAAGAAAATTTGACATTATTCTTCTCATAAATTTCCAATTATTGCTATGTCTTTTCATTGTACATTTGCAAATTTATTTCTCCAAAACTTCTTTTTCATCTTTTAGTTTATAAATTTCCCATATTTTTGTCTGAAATTTGGTAGTATTTTTTTACATAAATTTGTCAATTTTTGCAAGGTTTTTTTTTTATTGTTAATTTAGAAGTTAATTTTGTAAACTTTAAATAATTTTATTTGAAATGTATCACTTTAACCTCCAACCATCAGAGGTTTTATTTCATTTATTTACTTATTTTAAAATATCACACCCCTTCCCCACTACGCCCAGCTACTTATACTTTGTTCGGATAAAAGCAGAAGGAGGAGAGGGAGGTCACGTCCTCAGTATCGGAACGCGGCCCGCCCTTCAGGGCACCTTGTGTCGGTATCCGGACGCGGCCCGCTGCTCAGGTAAACAGATGCTGAACTTTTCTCTGCCTCCGCCGGTGTGACCGTCCTCACACCGCCGGTTCAGTGTTGCAGAAGAAGTTGGTGGAGGAGTGACGGCGGGTCGTGCGCGCGTCTGTCCCGGGCGGCTGTGAAGCAGGAGGAGCGATTTAACCCGGAACTTCGTGCTCTTTTCATGTCAACATCAGAGAAACAACAAAGTTCCTGTTAGCAGTTAGCTTCAGTTAGCAACCGTGGGTCCGCTGCCGGGTCACCCAGCCCGGAGTAAAGTTCGAGTCCGGGTCGAGAGCTGCTCGGCGGGAGGGCAGGACACTCTGCGAACGGCAGTAGTGTTATAAACGAGTTTGCGCGACAGCGTGCCGTTAGCCGTTTGTTACAGTCAGTGTTCACGGGAGACTTAGAAGCTAGGGGGACCGGAGCTAACACACCGGAGCTGGACTCTGTACACCGACACACCGACTGTGGATGTTCAACAGGTCACCGACTGCTGCTGCTGAACCCGGGTGAGTGTTTACCAGAGTACCCGGAACACCGACAGGACACCTGCGGGACGTTAAAGTGGAGCCCGTCCTCTTGGTCGATAGTAAATG